TGTGCTATTAAGTGCAGATCTATGTATCAGTCCTCTTCTGTACAGCCCAAAAGCTCTGACCGTAAAGTGATTCTGCCATACCATGACCAGGGGAGGATCCTTATGTGCTGTGCATAGATTGGAGGATCAATAACGTTCTTTCTGTGGGTATCATTGTCAAAATTTCCCTGGAAAACCTGAAAGGTGACCAACAAGATCTAGTTATAACAAAATGTAGTGCACAAAAAAAACAAAAATGTTCACTTCAAAGATGTTATATCTTCTGGCCTCATAAAGGAGGCTACATTTTGTCATAAGAAAGAAAAGGTACCCTAGAAAGGAATTCTTATATTTTTTTAAAATAGACGTTTGGCTTAATAGGAGAAGTTTGATATGCTTATTAAAAAAAAAAACAGTGTGATTTGTAAATCTATCAGTCTATTAGGGACTGAATCCTTCTGAATTAAGGAAGACTTATTCTTAAGTAAGTATGCTGAAGAAACCCTTAAACAGTCATTTTACAGGTGTCTACATTCACAGAACCCTTCTTCCATCAAATTTGATCAGTTGTCTGACATCTATAACAGCCTACATGCAAATACATCAAAGACAATCATATTTTATTATAAAAATCAATTGTTGCTCAAACCATCACTAAATACTCATGGACTGTTTAAACCAGTCTGTCATTATATTTATATTTTGGTATTATGATCTATCAGATATATTCTAAGTATATCATACACTGCATTTACTTTCTATTTAGTTGGATGCAGCAGATATGTTGGCTTGTAAGAGAGTCTTTAGATTAGGGATCATACTGTAGCTTGCAAAGAACTGCATGTTGGGGTGAAATTGAGTTTTGGACTATAGAATACTACTGAAAATGTATCAAAACATACCAGTGTTCATACTGTCAGGAGGAAATGTTGCGCTTGCCAGAAATACAACTAAAGCTGGTAAGTTAGTGTATAACTTCTTTGTCTTATTTAAAAACATTGTTAAAAGTCTCAATTAACCAAAACCAGAATGCAGGCAAGGCATAGAGAAGATTGCAGCCTGGAATATAAGTGCTAAAAAGCATGAATCAACCAATGAAATGAAAGAAATAAAAATAGATATGTGGTATGTTTGTGAAAGTAAGAGAAAGGAGAAGGATGTAAAAGATCTGAATGAAGTGGATTTTGCGGAGTAAAGTTGATGAATACATGTAGAGATATGAAACTGTGTAAGTTATAGGGCTCAATGTATGTTGGAAAGAATGAACTTGTGTCATCAGGATTGTTGTTGAGTACATATGAAAGCAGGCATTCAGAGGCTGCTAATAGTTACATGTTATGCCCCAGTGCATGGTAAGAATAGAACAAGAAATGAGGGTTTAAAAAAAATTGTGCAACATTCTAAATTAACGCTATCCAGAAAGAAAAGTAATCTGTTTGGTGACTTAGATAGATGGGGGGAAATGAGTTATTGGGCCATTCACAGACCTAGGAATGAATGAAAATGGTTTGGAGTATGTGCTTAGAAAAATATTTGTTTCAAATATGTGTTTTAAGCAGAGTCTTCTCATGCTTACAGTGTCAAAGGAATATAAATGTAAAAGCATTACTGATTTGGCAGTTTATGATGAAAGAATATTACTAAAGGATAACATTATTTGGGAAGTGCAGTGTGGCTTTATGCTGGGCAGGTGGTGTGCTGAGCAGATTTTTGTTCTTTGGTGGTTACTGGTCATCAGAGGATTGTGAGAAAGAAATTTTATTGCACTTTTGTTGATTAGAGAAAACATATGGTAAAGTGAATAGATTTGAATTATGGAATGTTTTGCACAAATACAGAGTTGAAGATTGGTTGCTGAATGTTGTAAGTACAGTATGTGATGCAAGTAAAGGATGCATGAAATAAATGAAACATTTATTTATTTATTACACTTGTATGCCACTTATCTCTCCCAATGGGTGACTCTGGGCAGCTCACAATTAAAACAAAACCCACAAACAATGAAAAATAAATACACATTAATTAATTAAAATTGATTAATCAATTAAAAGGTCAAACTATAAGCAACCCCTATACATAAAAACTAAAAACATTCAAGATGATTGGGGGGGGCAGAATCAATTACTCCACAAGCCACTTCCACCGATGCGAGCCCCCATCTGGCCCCCAGGCCATCCAGCATAGTCAGGATTTCAGGCTGTTCCTGAAGGCCATGAGAGAGGGGGCACACCACACCTCGGGTGGTAGGTTGTTCCAGAGAGCGGGGGCCATGACAGAAAAGGCCCTCTTCCTAGATCCCACCAGTTGAAATTCCTTGACTGGTGGAGTCTGCAACATGCCCTTTCTGCCGGACCAAGTGGGGCGGGCTGATATAATAGGGGCGAGGCAGTTCTTCAGATAACCTGGTCCTGTGCCATGAAGGGCTTTAAAGGTGATAACCAACACCTTGAATTGGACCGGGAAGCAAATCAGCAACCAATGCAGCTCATGTAACAGCGGTGTTATATGGGCCCCCCTAGAGGCATTCAGAACTGTCTGCACCGCTGCATTCTGCACCAGCTGTAGCTTCCGGATACTCTTCAAGGGTAGCCCCATGTACAGTGCATTGCAGTAATCCAACCGGGAGGTGACCAGGGCATGAGTGACCGTGCAGAGGGCCTCTTGATTGAGGATGGGGCGTAACTGCTGCACAACATGAAGTTGCACAAAGGCCCTCCTAGCCACGACTGCCACCTGCTCTTCAAACAGGAGTCGAGAGTGCAGGAGGACCCCCAGATTACGCACCGGGTCTGTCTGGGGTAGTGCGACCCCGTCAAGAACCAAAGATGATAAACTCCTAGA